AAGATTACTTCTGATAAATTCATCTTATCTTATACTTTATACATTAATGATTTAACTCTTTATCATTTCCATTCCTTCCTTCACTTTTTATAGTTACCTGTTCTTTCTCATAATATATTACCTGTCATTCAAATTCTATAATTTATTTTATCTTAAAATACATTATCTAACTTTTTTCATAAAATTTACCAAACATCATATTAAAAAAAAAAACCTGTTTCAGGAACAAGCATATTTAAACATTTCCGGTATATAGCCTTTCAGGCTTATGCCGGAAATTGAACAATACCGGAAACGGCTATATGTCGTATAGCCTGTTTTTGGTGTTATTTTAGTTTTATCATATATATATATATACATATTAACCGTTTTAGCCATTAACTCATGCTATTATGTTAAAATTTATTGTTTTTTTTTTACAATTCATCGAAATAGTCACTATAAAAAAAAAGAAAAAAATTTATTAATTAAATTTTTTCATTAATTAAATTTTAGAATAATTATGGAAAGATAGAAAAAAAAAGAACCAACTAAATTTGTTCATTAAATTACGCTTAATTAATTTATTTACAGTGTATCAAATCACGTGTAATCCAATTACGGGTTCGACGTAAACAAGAACCATCACATGAAGGTAAACTTTAATTCATTTTTTTTTTTTTTGCGAACAAACAGTTTCATCAAAATTTTCAGCTAAACTGGAAGACTTAATCATGCAATTATGTGGAATTAATTTAAAATACATAAAGAAATTGTTAATTTAATTAATTTGCTACTCTTATAATGATATACTTGAAAAACAGAAAAATTGGCCGAAAAATAAGATTGCTTTTTTTTTCTTTCTTTCTTACTTTCTATTCCTCATTTTACAGCAAAATTATTTCAATTAAAAATCTAAATTTAATAATTGAAAAAATTACTTTTTTTTCTTTCTCCTTATTCCTGTTTCTAAAATAAAATTGTTTCAATTAAAAATTCAAATTTAATAAATAAAAAAATTGCGTGTTTTTCTTTCTTCCTTTTTATTCCTAACTCTAAAATAAAATTATTTCAATTAAAAATTTGAATTTAATAAATGAAAGAATCGCGCTTTTTTCTTTCTGTCCTTTTATTCCGAACTCTAAAACAAAATTATTTCAGTTGAAAATTTAAATTTAATAAATAAGAATAAAAATTATTGCATCCAATTTTATCTTTTCCAAAAAAAAAAAACTTTCGTTGCATATTTCCTCCCGC